TTTTAGGCAATGTCTTAAGTAACTCCTCTGCTCTGCTTGGCCCAGGTCCACCACCATATAAGCACAGAACAAAAACAATCCTATACAGCCTGTGTCTATTTTTTTGCATGTTACTTTAGTCTGCTGAGAAACAAAAAATAGAAAGCCCAGAAATTGTGTAAGTGAAGCAAGAGCTGGTAGGCTGGACAATCTAGAGTCATTAATTCATTCTAATGAAACTGTAAGTATATGTGTAGCATGTTTGTGAGGAGATTTTATTGTAACCTATTTTTAAGTGAGAATTTTAGAATTTTATTGATTTAAAAAAAAAATCAAAACCATTTTTTAAAATCATTGATTTTTATCCACCCTGATGTTCTGTATAAGTTGTTCTCTGCTGAGGATGTATTTGTGTTACGTTGCTTTGCAACTTTAAGGGGAGAATGCTTTTCAAGTCATTGTCAAGGGCTTCTTTATTGAAATATCAGGGTTTTTTTTTTTTCAACATATTGAAAGATGGTCATTTTAAGTTAAACCGTTTAATGAGGAGTCAAGAGTGTTGGTGGTGTGAAATGGTGAGAAGTAAACTGCAGTCTGTTTGACGGCGTGACATTAAGGTCACAAACTTAATTTTTGAGTAGAGCAGAGTAATCTTAATAATATAAAAATGGTTGCAAATAATAACATCTTACCTATCATAAATTGTTGAAAAATGTCTGGCATGATATGCTGCCCAAGATTGAAAGTCACCATCTGACAGCCGAAAGTCTCTTATGTTACAGATCTTTACCAAGATTGCAGTTGGGGGAAAAGCATAGTTCAAATACAAGTGGAGTGGAGAATGAGTTGTATAGAACAAGCTATAGTTTATATATATTTTACTCCAAACTTGCAAAAGTGGAACCATAAAGGCTATTAACCGTGATTATATTTTCAATCTACAGTAAAACTCCGTTGGTCCGTCATCTGATGGTCCGGCACTTCTGATGGTTCGGCAGTGGTTCTTACCATTTCCTGACATGGGCGGAGGAGGGGGCTGCTCCAGCAGAGCTGGGCCTGCCGGGCTGGAGGCTGCTCAAGTGCGCTGCTGGAGGCTGCTCCAGCGGCGCAGAGTGACGGGCTGGGCCAGAGCAGCCCCCTGCCTGTGGGATCCCAGTTAAACAGTTAACTGGTTAAATGTAGTGTTTAACCGGTTAACTGATTAATGGGATTTTACATCCCTAGCTCAAAAACACCTAAGAATACCTATTGGATCTAGTATGCTAAAACTACTAACTATTTTATTTTCAAGAGGATTTTACTTCATATTAGTTAACTTTGGTTAAAAAACCTGCCTTTGTCCTCCAGTGAGGACAAGGCCTCAGAGGCAATGGAGGGGTAAAGACTGGCACCTGCTTCAGGTGATATCCTGATAAAGCACTTCTTTGTGGAAATGTTGATGGGACTTCACCTGAAGATAGTAACAGATTCAAACGATGGGGGACTTAATAAGCAGAACCGGTGAGCAATAAGGATGACTTTTTACAATGGTTAGCCAGGAAATGTTCTAAACAGGGCCTTGATTCCAGCAAAGAGTTTATTTGCAACTAAGGGAGCCTCAGTCGCTGATCATTCAGTTGAAGTATGTTGTTCAGTCCTTCATTTGTTAGAAGTAGACATTTTTAGTTCCACAATTGTTGAACTAATTTCTTCCCTTTATCTCACCTCATATAGCATCTTAATTTATTTGTTTTTAGATGCTTAAATCATAGTAAGATCATCATATCATATTTTTACACATTACTTTAACATACTGTCAGCTGATATACTGAGCAAGAACTCTGATTCACTGTTGCTTGGCTGTCAATAAAGTCTCAACATTCAATTGGACCAGTGGTGTGGAGGCTGTGCAGGATTGCACATTCTTAGGGTTGGCAGAAGTGTCAATAATGGGATTCTTCAAATACAAGCTTGCACAATTCCATTTGCTAAGAGGGTCATTAGTTTTCCTGGACTTTGCTGGGTACTGACAGGTGGTGTGATGAGAACAATGATTCATTGCAACTCTATCCAAACACTACGAGTCAACTAATGATCCAGACCTGGCCAAAACCCCTGGAAAAAGAAGTGAAGAGTTGAGTCCAAAGCAAGTGGAAGGTCTTTCACAGCAACACAAATCTAGAGCTTGCCCTGAACTTTCCACAGTTTCAGATTAGGGATGTATGCGAGTAGTCAACTAGTCTATTAGTAGTTGAGTTGACAACTCACATTTCCCCCACACCTTGCAGCAGGGGTGGGGTGGGGGAACTGGAGCTGGGGATAGGGAGAGTTGTTTTAAAAGCTGGTTCCCCTCTCCACTCTGCTGCTGCTATCAGACGGGCCCAGACTTGCTCCGGCACAGCCCCTGTCTGCGGGGATCCTGGCAGGGAGCTGGGACCCCCCCATGGACGGGGCTGCTGGACCTGGAACGAGCTGGGACTAAGCAAGGTTGGCGCAGTCCTGGCTTGTGCTGGGTCTGGGAGCTACCCCGCTGCAGTTTAAATGTAACAAGTGCCTGACTGCCTGCCCTCCTGGCTCTTTCTACATTTAAACTGCAGAGCTGCAGTGGGGGTAGCTCCCAGACCTGGTGTGAGCTGGGACTAAGTGCCTTCCTCTATTGATTAATTGTGTAGTGGATAAAAATTCTGTCGACTACACGATTAGTTAAATCCCACTTCTTAACATCCCTATTTCAGAGTGCTATTTGACATCAAGTCTGGCATCACTACCAGCTATGACAACATCCTTCTGGAATTCCTGAAACATTTTGGCCCACGTGCGTACTCTTGGCTGGCTCAGCTCTTCACAAAGGTCAGCAGTGAAGGAAGACTGCTGAAAATCTAGCACGTGTATCTCCCATTATTGCTGCTTTTTCTGTCTCCCAATGTTCTAGAGCACAGGGTCTCAAACTTAATTGCACCATGACCCCCTACTGTCAACAAAAACTACAACATGACCCCAGCATGAGGGACTGAAGCCTGAGCCTGCCCAAGCCCCACTGCTGTGGGTGGTGGGGCTAAAGCCCAAGCTCCACTGTCCTATATGGGAGGTCCAAGGGGGGCAATGCTGAAGCCTAAGGGCTTTAAAAGCTCAGGCAGGAGGCCTGTAACCTGAGTCAAGCTTTCATGGGTGGTGGAACTTAAACTTTGGCCCTAGGCCCCAGCAAATCTAAGCCAGCCCTGGAGACCCTATTGAAATGGGGTTGCAACACACTTTGGGGTCTAGGGATGTAAGCAACTAGTTGACTACCCAATTAGCAAATGCTTATCAGGTAGTTGAGTAGGAACTTGAGTAGTCCATCCACCTCCCCCCTCATCTCCCCCTCACGTTGCTGCATCTATCAGAAAGTCAGCAAGGGTGAGAGCACGAGCTGATGCTGGGGGGAGCCATCTTAAAATCCAGTCCCCTCACCCCGAGTACTATCTCCGTGGGGGGCAGTGGGGAAATGGCACAAGTGGGGATTGAAACAGCCCTGCTGGTGCGGGTCCCACTGCTGCTCCTCTCCCTTTGGAATGTACAAGAGCTGCCTGTGGCTCTTGTATGTTTCAAAGGAAGAAGCACAGAGGGGAACCCATGCCAGAGGGGACTGCTTTGCTCCCCCTGGCACGGTTCCCTCTGCCTCTCTCCCTTTAAAATGTGCAAGAGTTACTGTGGCTCTTGTACATTTCAAAGACAGTGGAAATCCATGGTGTCTCTGCTGTTGAAATATACAAGAGCTGCAGGTAGCTCCTGTACATTTCAGAGGGAGAGGTGTAGTGAGATAGCAAGTGCCCCCGTTAGTGACTACTGGATTAGCTGATTAATCAAAATTTAACATCCCTATTGGTGTCTCAACCCATGTTTGAGAACTGCTGTTTGAGAGCACCCAATTTTACTGTCAACACCAGAGGTGGAAGACATCTGGAATGTTGATCAAATAGTCTTTCCACAAGATCTAAGCATTTGCAATCAAGTACTTGCTCTAGTAACACCAAACAAAAATAGTTATGTCGTGTGAAAATTGTGTAGAGTGAAATTTAATTTAAAAAATTTTGTCATTTGATTTTTTTATTTTCAGATAGTAAGGGATCAAAATTTGGTCAAGGACAAACAATACAAAGACATTATTAATATTGCCAAAGAATTATAGACTGTATGGTCAGTGTTTGACTTTAAAATTATACCACCCCAAATTGCCATCAAAGTGATTTTAATTTATCCCTTGAATAATTAAAGTTGGGAACAACTGCTATTTAAAAGCTAGAATTGCAGCTTTCTTGGGCTACGTCTGTACTTACCCATGGAATGACACTTTGGATGTAGATCTTCTGGTGTTGATTTAGTGGGACTAGTAAGTACCTGGTAAATCAAATACTGAGGGCACCCTTGTCAGTACCAGTACTTCCCTTACTCCTCACGAGATGAGAAGTCGACAGGAGCATTTCTTTTGTTGACCTGCTGTAGGGATGGTGACAAAGTTCAAATCAGGGTACGTTGACTCCAGCTACGCAATTAATGTAGTTGGAGTTGAGTATCTTAATTCAAACTTATCCCCTAGCCTAGACCTGGCCTTAACAAAAGTTATAAATTGTTAACCCTGCAGAGTAGTGAAGTGTCAACTGTTAAAATCATGTCAGAATTGAAGAAAGCACAAAAACCATGATAATAATCTGTGACATAATTTTGAGGCCTGAAGGTGTGATATCTTGTGAAATGCCATGGCCAGAAATAAATGGCTTGTACTACTGGAAAGCAGTGAAATACCTGTTTTCTTGGATGTATTTCTGGTACAGTACTAAGGATTCATGAGCTGTAGACAGGACACTTATTACTGGTCTAGCAGTGCCTTTTTTAGAACAAATCTAAGACTGAGTGTAGCAGGATTCAGATAATTTAATGAAACTGATGTAGTGAGCCTTTCTTTTGTTGTGTGTTAAACTTAATTGGACTTCCTATAAAAAGTTGCTTTTAAAGTGTATACCTCAGCATTTTTACATATACTGAGTTGGCTTATTCCTCCACAGGGTGTGATAGGTGTACAGCTTGTGGTTACCATGGTGATGGCAAGTGTGATACAGAAGATCATCCCTCACTATTCTCTAGCTCGTTGGCTTCTCTGTAGTGGCAGGTAAGATAAGAAATAAGTACTTGTTACAGTGCGTATATATATCTGTGGTGACATGTGTTATGGAGTCTAGAAATCGGAAAATTAAACTAATCAGGAAAGGTTTCAACTGTTGCCAACAGAATGCAAATACCTGCATCATTTGCACATGATGTAGAAGATTATAATACAGTAAAACTCCGATGGTCCGGCATCTGACGGTCCGGTACTCCTGATGGTCCGGCACCATCAGGAAGCCGGAAGTGCTCCGAGCAGCCGGACTATTGGAGCTGCTCTGCCCCCAGCTTCCCCAATTCAGCCGCTGCTAAAACTGACCAGCGCTGAATCTGGGAAGCAGGGGGCAGAACAGCTGGAGTGCTGCCGGGTAGGTCCAGTAGCGCTGTCCCTCGGGGCTGTGGGACCAACCCGGCAGCACCCCAGCTGTCCCGGATTCAGCCGCTGCTGAAATTGACCAGCGGCTGACTCCAGGAAGCCCGAGAGAGAGCTGCTCTGCCCCAGCTTCCTGGAATCAGCCGCTGGTCAGTTTGAGCAGCAGCTGACTTGGGGACACCTGGGGCAGAGCAGCTGGGGTGCTGCTGGGTTGGTCCCCGCAGCGCCGAGGTTTGGCGCTACTGGACCAACCCAGCAGCCTTCCAGCTGCTCTGCCCCAGGTGTCCTGCTTCAGCCGCTGCTGAAACTGA